GGAGGGAGCCTATAGGACCCTTACACGGTCCTGCACGATTCCATAGGAACCCTAGGTGGATCCTATAGGATCCTTACAGGGTCCGGCACGATTCCCTAGGAATCCTATTGGGATCCTATAGGATCTTTAAGGGTCCTGCGCGATTCCGTAGGAGTCCTATGAGGAGGAGGAGCTGGCCTCGCTGGCGCGTGGTCGGTTTTCGGACACAGGAGTGCGTGGGGAACAGTAAGGGAGCCAACGGAGATTCGGAAACACATATAGATTTTCGTTAGCGTATGACAGAGGTGTTGCGCGTTGCTCCCCCCCCCCCCCGGGGCAACAACTGCAACGTGTGGCCTGGGGCAGTGCGCTCGCCCCGGGGGCGAGGACACACCCACGGGCCCCGCCGGGGTGGCCTGAGAGAGTGTCCTTGCGTTGTTGTTGTTGTTGTTGTTGCTGTTGTTGTTTGTTGTCGTCGTCCCACCCGCGACCCACCCGCGACCCACCCCGCGACCCACCCCGCGACCCACCCCGCGACCCACCCCGCGACCCATCCCGCGACCCACCCGTGACACAACCCTCGACCCACCCACGACCCACCCCGCGACCCACCCGCGGCCCACCCGGGCCCACCCCGCGACCCACCCCGCGACCCATCCCGCGACCCGCCCGCGACCCACCCGCGACCCACCCGCGACCCACCCGCGACCCACCTGCGACCCACCCCGCGACCCACCCGCGACCTACCCACATTAGATTGGTTTAACGAAAAAGTCGGCACCTGCGGCGGGCTGGCTGTATAATTAGTGAAACTTTGGCGCCTGCGGCTGGCTTCTCCAGAGTCTCGCCAAATGCAAGAGGAGGAAGGAGGAGGAGGAGGAGGAGGAGGAGGAGGAGGAGGAGGAGGAGGAGGAGGAGGAGGAGGAGGAGGAGGAGGAGGAGGAGGAGGAGGAGGAGGAGGAGGACACCCGCGGTCGCGTCGCCTCCGAGGCCTCCCGTGCGACCCCCCGCTACGCCCCCAGAGGCACGGACTCGCCAGTTGCCGTCTTCGCCGGCCTGGCGGGGGCCTCGGCGGGTCGGGGTGAGGAGCCGGGCTTGTCAGGCTCCCGCCAAGCCTTGGGGGCTCGGGTCCGTCCAGAGCTCGTAGTCATCCTCGTCGCCGTCCGTCGTCCGTCGTCGTCGTCGTCGTCGCCCTCGTCGCCCTCGTCGGCCTCGTCCTCGTCCTCGACGTCGTCGCCGTCGTCGCTGTCGTCGCCGTCGTCGCCGGCGTCGCTCTCGCCGCCGCCGTGGTCGTCCTCGCCGTTCTCGTCGTCCTCGTCCTGTTCGCCGTCTTTCTGTGGAGTTCGCGAGAGTTTCCAGAGGATTGGCGGATTTGGGTGTGCAGGCACATCGAAGCCAGCACCAGTATGTGGGCCATGTGTCAGGAGGTGTGAGAGAGAGAGAGAGAGAGAGCCAGACTGTATCTAATGGCCTTCGGCCCATCCCGCCACTGTGGCTGGGTTGTGGGTATAGAGCCTAATTATTGGATGTTTGTTGGGATCTAGTGGGAGGCCTCACAGGGGCCTCTTTGAGGCAGTTTTGGGGCCTCTTGGGGGCTGTCGGGGTCTCTTGGGGGCTCCTTTTGGGTCTCTTGGAGGCCTTTTGGGGCCTCTTTGGGGCCTCTTGGGGACCTCTTGGGGCCTCCTGGGAGTCTCTTGGGGCCTCCTGGGGGCATCGTGGGGCAGAAGGCTCGGATTTTCGCTTCGTGTTCCCTCTCTTGGGCCCCTTTTGGGGCCGTCTTGGGGCTCTTTTGGACCGGCTTAGGCGCCTCTTGGGCCGTCTTGGGGCGCTATTGGGCCGTCTTGGGGCCCTCTTGGAGGCCTCTTGGGCCGTTTGGGGGTTGGGGCGTCGGAAAGCCGAAAAGGCGAGAACGCAACAATTTTTCAAACACCTCAGGCAAATCAATGATTTTTGCCCCTTGAGGCCCACTGGGGGAGGCCTCTTGGAGGCCTCTTGGTCCGTCTTGTGGGCCCCTTGGGCCGTCTCGGGCCCATCTTGGGCGTCTTGGAGCGATCATTGGGCGTCTCGGGGCCCTCTTGGACCGTCTTGGGGGCCTCTTTGGGCCCTCTTGGCCCGTCTTGGGGCCCTCTTGGGTCCGACAAGTTCATGCGACAAGATGCCAGGAACCCAGGGGAACCGCGCCAAGCCCGGGGAGATTTGAGAATTTGGGGTTCGGACCCCAGGGATTAAGCAAAGGACTGAGGATACGCCCACTCCGTGCCCAGAGGCACGGTGGAGGATTGTATCATATATTGCAGAGTGGCAATTGTCAGAGCAAGACGGCTACAGGGCTTTGTCTGATCATGCCATTTGCCTGTGTATGGGTGCTCGTTTGTTGGGCGCTACCACTTTCGAGAAACATTAGGGCTGGTTGGAGTTGGCGTAGGACCGGGATGAATGGAGGAGGCAGGGGATTGAGAGGGCACTTTTTCGACCAGGGGACGTGACAGAACACGCTGCATTGTGGTGTAGGTTTATCGTTTGTGAGGTTTTGTTCGAAAACGGGGCCTGGCTATGTCAGGACTTACCACCGCCTCTACCTCTTCGTCGTCGTCGTCGTCGTCGTCGTCGTCGTCGTCGTAAGGGGACCCATGGTTCAACCCGCGTTGCTTTTGAGTTGCATGATTTGTCAACCGTAGTTTTCGCGCACGCATCCGCAAGCCCCACAGACTTGCAGATGCAGCAAGGTCTGAGAAGGTTTGTGTCAAGGCATCCGCTCGTTAGTGTGGTGGCGATCTGGACCTGGGATCACTGCGCTGCAGACATGGTGAGCGGCCAGGCCAGGACGAACAGGAGATTTTCCATACCACACTGTGGTGATGGGTCCTTGTTTCGAAGAGACAACGCCCCGTGTTCCTCCATCACCGTTCGCCCCGTCCTCCTCCTTCCCTGCCCTCCGCATGTTTCTGTTTCGGCGCACTCCTGACGCGCTTCGTGGTCCCAGAGGAAGCTCCACCGAATGCCCTCGTGGCAGGGTTCACATGCGTCCGCCCGACCCATCTCGGCACACCCCTCACACGTTTTGTGGCCCCACATGGAGCTCCACCAAAGGCCCTAGTGGGAGGTTCCACACGCGTCCGCCCGACACATTTTGGCACACCCCTCAGCAGTTTCGTGGCCCCATGGGGAGTTCCACCGAAGGCCCCAGTGGCAGGGTCCACATGCGCCCGCCCAGCCCATTTCGGCACACGCCTCACGCGTTTCGTGGCACAAAAGGGAGCTCCGCCGAAGGCCGCAGTGGCAGGGTCCACATGCGCCCCGCCCCGACCCATTTCGGCGCACCCCTCACCCGCTTCGTGGTCCCATGGGGAGCTTCACCAAAATCCCCAGTGGCAGGGTCCACACGCGTCCGCCCGGTCCATTTCGGCACACCCCTTGCACGATTCGTGGCCCCATAGGGAGCTCCACCGAAGACGACTCTCACAACAGCGTCATTCACAAAACTATCTGCGTGGGTCCTTCGCCCGGATTTTTTTTTGTTCGTGTTTGCACATTCACTCCAGAATGGTTTTCCGGCGGCGGCCTCGCGGCTGGGAGCGCTCGTATTCACGCGTCAGCGCCAGCACGGTTCTGTATGGGGGGTCTGTGCACGAGGAGGGCAAGATCACGTGTGTCTCGCTGGACAATGAGCTCAAGCGCCAGGGGACAGAGTGAGTGGGAAAGGTGGTCCCGTGCAGGCGCTTCTCAGTTCGGGCCAGAATCGCGCAGCGCAGGGGGGGGCCTGAGCCCCAAGGTTGGGTTGGTTTAGATGTGTTGGGACCGTCCGGGTGGGTCTTGGGGCGCAGGGGGGCGCCTTGGGGCCGTCTTGTACCAGTCTGTGGAGCTGGCCTGTGGTCGTCGTGGGCCGCATTGAGGCTGTCTATGGGCGATCTTCGGCTGTTTTGGGGCCCTCCAAGCAGCCTCTGTGACCATTTCGGGAGGTCATCCGGGACGGCCCGCCATGTCTGGGCGTCCAGGGTAGTAGGGAGGGTACGGGAGTGGATGGGGGAGGAGGAGAGGGGGATCGGTGAGAATCGGCTCACTCTCTCGACAACGCGTGGTTCAGGCTGTGTCGTCAAGTAGCTTCATTGTTTCGTGACTCACGTTCGCGCAATTTATTTTTTCACTGTCCAGCACGCGCACAATCGCACTAGTGCGTAGCCTTTGGCTCACACCAGCACTAGCGGCCCAGCCCACGCCCCGCAAGGGGCCACCCCGCGCGCGGCGCATGGAGGATACAGGGAGGCGCGGGGCGCGAGGCGCGCCGTCATCGCCGGCACGTACTTCACCTTCACCTGCGAGGCCAGCGCGCAGCTCGTCGCCGGCATCCCGTGGGCCGCAGCCCAGCCCAAGAAGCTACTCCCCGACGCTGTTGGGGCGCGCGAGTCGGACATCCCATGGCGGCCTCCAGGCAGCCTCCCAGGGCTTGTGCTGCTGCGGGCGGCCGCTCGACGCGAGCGCCGAGCGCTGCACGCCCTGCGACTGGCCCGGGCCCGACACCACCGTACAGATGCACTTCTGCGCCTGCGGGGCCCTCGTGTCCGCCGGCGATGCGTTCTGCACCACCTGCGGCTGCTCCCTGGCGGAGGGCGGCAGCCGCTGGGCCACCGCGCCGCACGGCGCCCCCCCGCGGCCCGCGCCCGCGGTGCCGGCCACCGCCCCCGGCCCCCGCGGCCCGCGCCGGCCGGGCCGCCCGGAGCAGTGGAGCGACCGCTCCGCGTTCCACCTGGACGAGAGGCCCCACAACAAAAAACAGACGACACCACCCCACCCATACGGCCCTCCATGTGGCGCAGCTGCCCCTCGGGCGCCGTCGCGTGCACCACGCAGAAGCCCGAGCCGGAACCCGTGGTGCCTGCCGAGGCCCGCGGGGCCGTGGGTGGGGTGGTGTCCTTTCTTGTTTGGTCCGAGGCCCGCGGTCTGGCGGACCCCGGCGCCCGCGGGCGTCGCGCCCGTCCCGGCCTCGACGGCGCCCCGGCGCCCGCGGGCGTCGCCCTGCCCCTCGCGCAGCGCGCCCGGTGGCGCGCCGAGCCCGTGCAGTGGGCGAGAGCGCGGCCGCCCCGCGCCGCGGGCGCCGCCCGCGGACGCGCGGGCGGAGCGGCAGTGGAGCGTCAGCCAGGAGCTCCAGCGGGGCGAGCGCGTGGCAGCCCCGCAGGCCACCAGAGCCCCTCGCGTTGTGAAGAAATCGCGCCGGGAGGTTTGTCGCTATTTTCGGCCTCCGGACTCCGGGGGCCCTTACCGGGTCCCTGGACCGTCAAAAAACGACGCAGGATGAGAAACCGGTCCCTGGGAAGGGGTCCAGACTTCTGGGGGTCGACGATGTGAAAAAATCACGACGTCGGGGGTCTGGGCAAAGGCGCCCAGGGCGTGGCCGGGCTGGGCACTGCCAGTGGATCAGCACCCGCCGGGAAGGGCCGGCAGGAGTCACTCCCACTGCGGCCCGCCCGCGCCGCCGCTGGAGCCCCCCGGAGGCGCACAGGTCATCCTGCACATGAGGGCGCGTAGCTGCGAGGCTCCGATGGGGCGGTCGAGGCAGGGGAGCGGTCGGTCCGATCTGCTCATCCCGCCCACGAGGCAGGAGATCCAGGCAGCTCGCGGCGAGAACCGCATCGTCGACCGTGTGAGCAGACGGGCATTACTGAGGACGCCCCCAACATTTAGACAATCCGTGAGTCGCAGGCTTTTCGGCCGCTCTGCCTCCAGCTCCTCGCGCTGCATTTCCACGAATGGCACGGGCCCTGACGTGCAGCAGCTCCGCGGCCCCTCCGTGCAGGTGCCGATCCTGTTGGCCATGGCAAATGTAGTCGGTGTCGCCGTCCAGTTCACCGTTTACCTCACCGCGGTGGGTTGGGTCGAGTCGGAGTATGCGCAAAGCGCGGGCCTGTTCGTCCGTGGGATGCTCAACTTACTCGTCCCCGGCTGGAGCGTCGCAGTCTACGCCACGATCGTCGAGCTTGTCAATGGTGAGACTTCTCCCCGCGGGGGCTTCTGCAGCGTCTCGCTGTTCACCGCGTGCTGCATGGGCATCGCGGCGGTGCCCAGGTACGAGCCAGGCTTCGTGGCGCAGGTCATGGGAGGAGCGACTGTGCACTTTGCGATCCTCTGCGTATGCGTCCCCGTCAAGATGGGCTGCAGGGGCCACTCGATGAAAGAGTCCATCTGCGGGCTCTGCTACTTCCTCGCGCTCTTCGCAGTCGCTTTCGCACTGTTCCTCTGGGGCTGCACCGTCTGCATGCTGCTGCCGGTCTTCGACAAGAGGGCTCAAGACTACAGCAACGGTCTCGAGCAGCCGCAGAAGGGAGCGGTCTCGATGACCCCTGGTCTCACGCTGCCTTTGGCCTGCCACATCGGGGAAAGCGTCGCGGTGCTCGTGGTGAGGAGGCTGGACGGGTGGCTCCACGAGCGGGTCCCGACATCTCGGCCCAGGGGCTCGTGGGTCGTCATGTTGGTCCACAGCGTGTCCGAGTCGTTTCGGCTCGCGGCGTTGTGGTACCTGGCCATTCTCTCCCCAGAGTCCAGCATTGGAGCCGTCGGGGGGTCCGAGCTGGCCCGGCACTGGCTTCGGCCAGTCAGAAGGGCGGGCAGGCAGGTGCGAGGCTCTGGATTCGACAAGGTTTGCTCTGTTTCTGTTCGGCGTCGGGGGGCCGTTGTCGCCCCGGGCCGGCAAACACGGATCCAGGGAGGAACACTGCACCAGATGGACCCGGGGAGGGGTCCCGGGACCGATTTTGAGCGGGTTTGGCTTCAGCACCCCTTCGTGACGATTTTCTGGGGTCCCATCCAGTTCAGACCCCTGGCCGCCTCCGAGCCCAGCACCTGGATCAACGCGCTGATCAGCTCGCTGGTTCTGAACACGGTGACCCGCCTGGGCTGGCATCGTTATTTCGTTTGGAGGCTGGCTTGCAAGACATCCATCTGGATTCCAGAACATCTGGCCCTCGTTCACAGGGAGACGAAGTTCGCTTTCGGCTACTGTCGTTTCGGAGCTCCGATTGCTATGGCAGGAGCGCGATACATCCTGAGCTACGTGAGCAGGTCAGAGTCTCAATGCTGCACCTCGGAGATGTCGCCGTACTTCAACGAAACCGTGCTGTACGTGTGGGTGTGCAGCTTCGTTGCAAAGCTGTTGGAGGACACCGCCATAGTGTTCTGTGAGTGGAGCCACCTCGATTCAAGAGGCTTACGCCACACGGCCCCCCCCCCCGAAGAGGAGAGAATCCCACGGGGCGCCCAACGAGGAGCCGCTCCACGCATACACGCAAGGGACCTCGCTTCCGTTGCGCATGAACTGCCGCCGCCGTGCTTCGGCCCCACGGGGCCTTTTGAGGCCTTCTGCGGGCGTCTTGGGGTGTTCTGTGGGCGGACCTGTTGGGGGCAGGCGAGGGGGGTTATGGGGGCCGTTTTCAAGGGTGTTCGCGGTTCGGTCGGTTTGGCTGCGTCTCAGTTGGTTGCGTTTGGTCGATTCGGTTCGGTCGGTCATTGTGCCTTTGCCGCGTCGCTGCGCCCTTATGGGCTGCTTGCGGCCTGTCGATTTCGGTCGGTTTCGGTTTCGCTGTCGGTTCGGTCGGTCTTCGGTTCTGCTGTCGCCATGCACGGCCTTGGTTTTTCGGGGGAAGCGCTTCCCCCCTCCTCGTCTTCCTTCTCCTCCTCCTCCTCCTCCTCCTCCTCCTCCTCCTCCTCCTCCTCCTCCTCCTCCTCCTCCTCCTCCTCCTCCTCCTCCTCCTCCTCCTCCTCCTCCTCCTCCTCCTCCTCCTCCTCCTCCTCCTCCTCCTCCTCCTCCCCCTCCCCGAAGCCCCCTCTCCTGCCTCATGGCCCGTGAGAGCTCCTCCTGTCGGGCCCCTCTCGGGGGCCTTCTGGGACGCCTTGGGGGCGTCTTGGGCCGTCTCTCTTGGCTCTCTTGGGCCGTCTTGTGGCCACATGTGGGTTTTCTCGAGGCCTCGTGGGCGCGTTGTGTCCGTTCCGCCTTGCTGGTGCCAAGCGTGGGCCTCGTGGAGACGTCGGATGCTGGATTTGGAGGCTCCGAGGGACTGGGAGGAGCGCCGATGGCATTCTGGACATCGTGGCACGGGTCAGAAGGGAGGGGGACAGCCAATCACCACACACGCCTTGCCACCCCCAGCCAGCCGGAGTCTGCGGTTCCTTCTTGGCACGCAGACGAATATGTTACGTCGTTCGCTTGCAGGGCCAAGGACGGGGGCCTCTACGACGGCAGCGCAGCAACGTGGTACCAGCCGAACCTGCACGCCAGGCCTTTGCACAAGCTTGATTACCAGGAAGATAGGTTCAAGTCCCGTGTCGTACACTTGGGCATCACCAGCGCCGCGACATTTCTTGTGAACACCGCTGTCATCCTACTCATTTCTTTGGACTTTCTCCTTGGCTTCGCTGGCGAGTATGTGAGCGCGATCCAAGTCATGGATTGGAGTGGGAGCGTGTTGTGGCGTCCCTTTGCAAACGTGCAGTCGTGGCTGGAGGCGTTCTAGCGTGGAGAGAGTATTGATCATTGACAGTCTGCCAAGTATGTTCAGCAGTTGAGCTGAGATCGGTGGGCCATTGTTGTGACCGGTCACAGTCGCAGCGTTATTTCAGTAGCAGCTTCGACGTGCTATCGTCTGGGAGAGGAATTATAGACGCTTCGCGTATCCCCACCAGCCCATCCAGAAACGATGTTCAGGCGAGTTGAGGTGATCAGGGAAGTGTGGGAACAAAGAGGGGAACGGCCGAACCGTGCGAAGGATAGAGGGGAAGGAGGAGTCTGGATGGATGGAAGATGGAGTGAGGAGAAGGAGGATTATTAGGAGGAGGAGGAGGAGGAGGAGGAGGAGGAGGAGGAGGAGGAGGAGGAGGAGGAGGAGGAGGAGAGAGTAGGAGGAGGAGGAAGAGGAGGAGGAGAGGAGGAGGAGGAGGAGGAGGAAGAGGAGGAGGAGGAGGAGGAGGAGGAGGAAGGAGGAGGAGGAGGAGAAGAGCAAGCAAAAGGGACAGAGGTCTCTTGGATGCCGCTCGGAGCCTCTTAGGGTATCTCTTGGGCGCTTCTTGGTGGCTTCTTGGGACGTCTTGGGGGTCTCTTGGCGGTTCTGGGGGACTCTTGGGCGTCTTGGGTGTCTCGGGGGGGCCCGTTGGGGGCGCTTCGAGTTCCTCTTGGGGGCCTCCTGGGGGCCTCTTGGGGGCCTCTTGGGGCCATTTTGGGGCCATCTTGGGACCGCTTGGGGCCTCCTGGGCGCCTCTGGGGGCCATCTTGGAGGAGATCGATCAAAGAAGAGGGGAGCTTGTTTTAGCGTCGCCCCCCCCCCCCCCAAGAGGCCAAACTGAGGCCAAACCTTTTTGTGAAACCAATGATGTTGGCTTTCTCGCCGAGGCCGTTTTGGACGCCCTGACCGCTCGCGGAGCCCCCGTCCAGGTCCAGGGGAAGGGGTAGGGGGAGGGGTCAAGCTACCCACCCGTCTGCAAGCCGTCTAGCTCGCTCCCATCCGCCCTCCCTACACACAAGTAACACCCGAGCCTGAGCATGTTCAGCGGTCGTCTTTGGATGGACAGCTACTGGGAACCAATGCCGACCCCAGGTGCGCGACGTTTGGGCGAGGTGCGCCACGCGTGCCAGGGGCGCCACGCGCGCCAGGCACCCCTGGGGCCCGAGCGTGCCAGGCACGCCTGGTGCGCCAGATGCGCCACGGGCTCCGAGTGCGGCAGGTGTGCCGCACACTCCAGCCGCGCCGCGTTCGGGGCTCGCGCATAGTGAGCCAGGTGCGCCTGCGCACGTGACAGCACACATCGGGAAACATGTCGGCCCCCACCATCCTTGTCGAAAACCGATGCCCATCATTGTGTCTGGTGGGCCTGCGCAAAGCAGGCCACGCGCCACCACCCCCGCCGTCCCTGTCAGAAACCACTTGACAGTGATCGCGAGAGGGCCGCGCATGATCCAGATTTAGCCGCGAGGTGCATGTTGTATTGTTTTTGTCAGGGATGGTAGCCCTGCGCGCAGCAGGGAAAATGCTGATACTCCCGCCGTCCCTGTCAAAAACACTAAAAAGTGCTCGCGGGCCTCACGAACATGACTCAAGACTTTGCCCCAGGGTGTACTTAGCAGTGTTTTTTGGCAGGGATTGTGGTGGGGGTGCCGCATCGGGTTGGCCGCGCATGCTCCAAATGTGGAGGCCGAGTGCAGTTTGTATCATTTTTGACAGGGATGGTGGGGGGCGGGTCGGCATGGTGTCGGCATTGTGCCTGGTTGGCCCCCGGTCGCCTGGGGGAGGATTTATAAGGAACAGTAATCAACCTCTCCCCGAAGGAAGGGGAAGAAGGAGGGGTGGAACAGGAAACTCCCTACAATGCCGGTTTTTAATACATGCTCCGCGTGCGGATCATGTGTACAAATGCAGGGATGTAGCATTAAAGACAACGCTGAGTTCATGTATAAATCATTTTATAAGCTAATCATGTATTAAAAATCCTATATGTTAAAAAATCATATGCATTAACAACTGCCCTGTCAACCCCCTACGCCCAGAGGGCTGGTGGGATTTCAGATCTGCGCCTTCGGTGCTGGCGCGTGCCCCTATCCCAACCTCTGGCTCGGGCGATCTCTGCTCGCGCACTCGTGCGCTGCATGTGCCTGTACTTGCGACACGTAGATAAGGTTAAGTCGGGCCTGTCCGCCTACAGGGGGATTTTCGACGACAATGAAAGATACCTCCAAAATACCCCCAAAAGACAAACAAAATAGTAAAAATATAGTCCCCAGACTATTTTTGCACAATTTTTTTTTTTTTTGGGGGGGGGGTATTTTTTATTTTTCGTTGAAAATCCCCTGTAGGGGGACACGCCCGACTTAAAGATAAGGGTTCTGTGCTGATGTGTCCCTTCACCAGGAGCATGCGGCTTGCGATTTGTTTTTCTTGTCGTCGCGTCTGCGGCTACTAGCTCACTGCGGGGCATTGCCTGCCAGGCAGCGAGCCACATAAGAGTTTCTCCTGGCACTGCTTTTGCCAGGACTATTCCCAAACAAGGTCTTGTCGCATTAGGTTCTTGGGCGCGCAGTCTTCTGAAGCGCAGATGTTTTTGCATGCGTATCCTATTTTCCCGGAGCGCGCCATACGTGCGCACTCTTCACAGTAGTAGCGTCAGTTGAAGCTTCCACTCGTATGCTTTCGCTGGCTCTCTGTTTCGAATCGAACCGTAGATTTTTAGGCGAATCATGTCGAATAACAATAGGTGCTGCAGCCAGACTTGGCTTCCG